AAAAGGATTATATATACACACATTTACATAACAGGAAGGAGAATATCTTAAAACATAACACTCACCAATTTACTGGAGATTAAAAGTGTATCATACGCAAAACCCCCTGTCCTACCTTTATGATAATAATACTGGCCAGAACTATAAACATAATATAGACATGACTTAGCTGGGGTTCCTGGAGCTGTCTTGTCCAGTCGCCTGATATCTCAAAATTATGCCGGAATGCACATTCAACAATTTCGCCTCCTATTTTGAGAGGTGTCAGCCAAATTTTAAAACCTCTAGAAGCAAGAAAAATTCTTCCCATTAATTCACAAACGTGTATTCAAAATCAAACAGAAATGGCGACTGACCTTCCCCATCCGCAGGTTTCCACATTTTCGATAACATACTTCTTTTAAAAAATACAATATAGGGGGCTCTATTTACCTATAAATTACCATCATTTTCCGTAAAATATATACATAATTTTTTCACAATAATAATAATATAATATATCTTTATTTACTACAAGTACATGTACAAGGTATACAGTCCTAGCTGACATCAGTGACATACTACTATATAGAAAGCCGCTTGTTATGCAGAGCATTTTGGGCAAATTAGGTCAGTTTTGTCATAGGATGCACCCACACACAGTCGAACAACACTCAAGTACCTATTTTATACAGATGGGTGAACATAGGTCATGCAACCGGTAAGAAAGGAACGCCCAATGTTTTCTATACTTCCGCCGGGAATTCGCCGGGAATCGAACCCGGACATCTCACCGTGTGAAGCAAGTGCTTTTGCCACCAGGCCACGGGCCACCTTACACTAAGGTTTAGCTGCATCTGACTAAACTTATGCACTACTAACTGATGTACTTGATTATTATAATCAAAACCCAGCACTAAACCCATGTAAAGGTCCTAGGACTACATTATTAATATATAAGGTTACTTCTCTAATTCTAATATTAGTTACTAACTATAAACCTACCTAAACGTCCCTTTTATGGTAAATATATCAATCAATATGTTTAGCCGCCACCTCTGCTAATTAGCTGTGTGAGTATGTGGATGTTAAGGGCTCATACTGCTTATTTACTGTTTACTCTCTGTGGAACTAAGTTCCCACATGTTCTACATTTAAGAAGTTACGTAAAAAAGTTCCACGATGCAAGAAAGTAGAAGCTCCGATGCTCTGGATCAAGAGTTCTTCACTAACATCAAGGACCTTGATCGCCAAGACTCACGTTGTCTTAAAAAATCAAACATTGACTCTCATGACTCCTCATGTTCTGACTTCATTATCTCTAAGAGTTTTTAGTTTGCAGCAGGTGTAGCATACCTTCTTTGTATTACTTGGTTAAGCACTTTTCCATCTTACAACTTCTTATATGTGAGATATCAACGTGCATTTCGTACGTTGCGGTGAAGACAAGGTCAAACCCTTGTCGAATTCGCAAGTGAGAAAAAGGTTGCTTTTGAGAGGTGATGCAGGGCCTCGAATTGCAATTCTTTTGAAAAATTGTTTTAACTAATACTGTATGAAGATTTCTGTATCTGTATGCCTGCCAGCATACAGGAATATCTGATAGATCATACTGCATCAGATGTTCTGGAAACAGCAGCTTTAGCTGATAATTATGAGACAGCTCACAAACTTGTGTACCACAGCACTAAAAACAAAGAAATGAAGTCCTAAAAGATGGCAGCACAAATCAGCTGACAAATGGAGGTTTCCACATTCATGTAACTCACCTCGCATCCTTGATTGCAACCTAGAATTAAAATTAAGGTAATTTTGTGCCCAGATACTTCTTTGCTTGTTATTTTATCTTATTACTTTCATTAAATTCAGTAGAGTAACATTAGCACAATAGAGTTCCGAGACGTATGTTCCGGCTCACCATCACAGGCATGAGACACACTACCAAAAACTGAATCTAAATGACACGAGGTGAGAAGATTATTATTATTATAATCAAGGGGGAAGCGCTAAACCCGGAGGATTATACAGCGCCTGGGGGGGGATGTGGAAGGCATTCAGGCTTAATTCGGGGAACTGGAGCACAGATCCAATTCCCTAACTCAAGAGCCCCTCACCAACATCAAGGAACCTTCCTTGAGGGGACGAGGTGAGAAGAGAGATGGGGTAAGTTACGGCAGATGTATCAGGTGAGTCATTTCGGCTTAACACTCACGTGAACAATGAAACAAGCGGGCAGGTAGTTTGAAGCGTTGGCAGCCAATCACAACTCTCCTTCGACGAGCACAGTGAGAGGTGTAGTTGTTACATCCCATTTTCATACATACACTAAGTATAAGTCAGATAATAATATAAAACACGAAATTTCATATTAACGAAAAAATCAGCAATATAAAATTAGATGAAATAGGCAATATATATATATATATATATATATATATATATATATATATATATATATATATATATATATATATATATATATATATATATATATATATATATATATATATATATATATATA